CCCCACACCCACACCCAATTTCGTTTAAGAAACTCAGTAATGAATAAGATCAGATATAGTTCTTGGATATGTGCACACAACACTTGTCTTAATATATGTATATATTGGTTGAAGATAAAATGAAAGTTCTTTATTTTGAACAAAGAGAGAGAGAGAGTTTCTACTTTAAGACTTTGTAAAATCTTGACAGAGTGCTTGATGATTTTGTTCATGTCCAGAAATTTTATTTGATTTTCTTTTCGTGGAGTATTCTTCTGTGGTTGATGATTCGTTTTTTCTTATAAATTGTGGTAAATAATTTTTAATATTGTATCTTTTAGCCCATAAAAATAATAATAATGATATCAAAGTAGTAATTGCAAAAGTAATGAATAATCCACCAGTCGCTTCGATCTCAATAGCTGTTGTTGTTATTGTTGAGTCAGAACAATGTTGTGCTTGAAACCATTTTTGTCGTAAATTATCAAGTTTACCTGATTCTTTTAATGATAATATACCAACATCTAAATCTTGTGCATATATCCATTGTTTACGAGTAACAATACCAAAAGCACCTCTATCGAAATCATTGCCAACTAAAGTTAAATTACAATAAATACTACTGGTGGCATATTCAGCAATTCCTGAATCTGACAAGGCAACATCAATAATGCCGGCAAGTAGACTATCGTATAGTTGTTGTCGACTTCTTAATGGATAATAATCTTTACTTTCTCCAGATATTTCTGTTTTAAAATATTCTTCACTAGCTGTACCGACGCGAATACCAATACGATTCATTTGTACTTTTCCATTTTTAATATCATCTATTCCTGATATAACAAATTGTGATTTCGCTATAGTCAGATCTGATGCTAAATTAGCAGTGTATGATGCTACTAATATTAAACTTAATATATACAAACCAGCCGTTAAAAAACGTCCAGCAGCTGTTCTTGCGTTAAATTCTACACCGTATCCAACTATATTACCAAAGCAATACCATTGGAAGCAATCATCAAGAATGTCCAGATAAATGAGAAAAGGTCTACATCGGTTAGTCTGAACTGGACAAAAAAAGTAATAAATCTTAAAATTTCTCAAAATTTATATATTTTCTAAAAAAACTTTCCTTACTGTTTCATAAAATTTTCCATAAAGTTTCTGAAATTTAGTTTCTTTTTAAGAATATGTTTAATTAATAAATAAAATGAATAAATTAGTTGAATTTAGAAATTAATTAGAGATTACTTTCAATGAAGAGATTTGTATATTCTTCTATAGTTAAACAAACCTTATTGAAATTGACGTATGCCACTAGAACTTAAGTTTCATTAGATTTTGACTGGTAATTTATCTTTCAAAAAATCAAGTTTTTTCAATTTGATATTGAGTATTTTAACAAATAGAGTCTTCATAGATATTGACTTTTGTTTTTGTTGTTTTTTATTGATAATGTTAATTCATACGATAAAAAGAGACCGACAAAAGAATATAAATTTAAAGAGAGAAGAGAGAGGCTGAATAAATGTCATTTTCATTAGGAAATCCTTTGTGGATAAGTTCATATGCTGAGTATTAATTGTGATATAATTGGTCGATTTTGTAAATCTTCATTATCTGCTCTTTCTACAAGACACATTAAAATACCAGCATAAATACAAGTAAATAGAGCTAACATCCATAATTTACGTGAAAATGGTTTTATGAATGCTAATAGATCGATACTACGATCGGATGTTTTTCGCACTATAAGACGTAGAGAATTATCAAATATAGGATTAGAAAAACCAACTAGTTGTCTTCTTAAAGCAGTAACAGTAACATCACCAACAATAATGTCGCAAAAACCCTCATTTACTAACTGAATGATTTGTAAATATGTTTGATTTAATGGTATTAGTATAAGAGTTGCATTAAAACCAATTTGATTTGTTAAAAGCTGAGTAAGATCAGGCATATAGCCAATATATTGTATTGTAATTTGTCCATTACTAGCTGTTACATTCTGAACTATTGTAAATGGAGTTATTGGAATTATTCCAACTCGTAAATTTACTCCTCGAAGAATTGCTCCATCAGCAGGTGGTGTTAAGGAATTTCCTGGCCATTTAATAATACTTTCTGTTACAGGTATTCTCCAATTCTCAGAACCAGCATATTCTAATACAAATACAAAATTCAAATCATTAGCAGATGATTGAACATTTTTTAAAGAATAATATGAACCATTTATTCGATCTGTTGTATTCTTACTAAATCTCATAGAACCGGATACACCGAGGAAATTTGTTCTAGCAAGTATTGATAATAATAAATCATATTGATTGAAATGAAAATCAAAACAGAATGAAGTTTGATCAAATGACAAACATGAAGAAGAATTATTTATTTTTGATGAACATAATTCTTCTAAAGATTTAATTAATGCCCATGTTGCATCAAATGCAAATAACGCATAATAATCAACATTTGTTGATCCAGGATATGTTTCATTATCATATTTTTGCCATATATTATATGCTGCATTTAATAATTCTATATTATATGGTGCATTAACAACTGATCCAACAACTGATTCGATTAAAAGCATTCCAATTAAATTTTGATCATATTTTTTATCAAAATAATTGAATGAAATCATTGAACTAATTATCCATGTAAAATGTGGACCAACAAGATTAGAATCGAGTGCATCTTTCAATATTAATGATGTATAAATTGATTCAGCCCATAAAATAACAATTCGTGTTAGACTATTTTTTAGATACGTCTTCAAATTACCACGAATACTAGTTTTAGCAATATCATAGACAATCATTTGTACTACTCTTATACCGCTTGCATTAAATACATCATTAATTGCTCTCGCTCCACCAGATCCAAATGCATCATTTTGATAAATAATTAAACAAGATGTCCAATTAAATCGATAGAATAACTTAACAAGAGCTGATGCCGCTGTATTATCCGATGGAACTGTACGATAAAAATTAGGATAAGTTGTTATATCAGATAAATCAGGATCGGTTGCAGAATATGATATAACAGGTAAACCAAGTTTTTCACAAAGTGGACTAATTAAAAGAGTTTCTCTTGATAATGCTGGACCGACAATACCAATTATATTTGATTGTGATACTGAAAGACATGTACCACTCAATGCATCTATCACATTGCCACTAGTTAGTTCTTCTCTCCATCCGATCAATTTTCCATCGACTGTTATATTATATTGATTAGAAAGCATTATTGCGGACTTAAACATAGCCCGAGCATGAATAGCTGATTCGCCACTGTTAGATACGTTTGGTGTATAATAAAAAATGCCGAGTAGATAAACATCAGAAGAGTTTGATGATGGCCAAATTGATATAACATTATCTATGTTTAATTCTACAAGTATAATATATAATAATAAACATCGAAAGTTCCAGAAAAATAACATTGATTATTGATTGTGTCACAAATAAAATCAATATTTTATCTATTGGAATAAAAATAGAATATAATATGATTATAATAGAATAAGAAGAGTTTTTTTTTAAATATTGTTTGATAGAGAACGACACGATTCAAAAGAATATCTTTATTTGAATAGAATAGATATTATTTGATAATAAATTTACAAAGAAATTAAAAAAAAACACCTTTGATAAACTTTACTAATTTTTCTTATGAGCCATATCACTTAAACTACGACCTTTTGTTATAGAGACTGCTCAATCGATTTTTTTCAAACTCCGATTTCACATACATAAATTTTCAAAAGCGTACCAGCTAGTGAGTTTTTTTGCCACTAAGCGTACTTCAATAGCTCAAGTCGTTACTGGAGGGGTCCACGAGAATTTAAAGTTATCCTGTTTTAGTTTTCTATACATTATTTACTCCCTTTAGTGCTTTTAGTCCCTTTAGTCTTTTTACTCCATTTAGTCCTTTTGTTTCCTTTAGTCCTTTTAGTCTCTTTAGTTCCTTTAGTCCCTTTATTCCTTTTAGTCCTTTTACTCCCTTTAGTCCGTTTACTCGTTTTAGTCCTTTTACTTTCTTTACCACGTTTAATTATTCTAGTCTTTCTGCAAGATCGTGTTTAGAAATTGTTGGTATATAAATGAAGTATCAGAAATGAAAGTTGTAAATATACTACCCCCAGGTCAATCATGTACGGTCGTACACGACCGTCACCGACCAATTACGTCGGATAACGGTAACCGTTTACTGTGGCCGTTTACAGCAACTGTAAACGATGCTGCACGGCATATTACAGCGAACGTAAACGACGCTCATAAGAGTCGACCGTCAACGACTAGCGTAACGATACAGACACCGTATAGGTTACTTGTGAAATATCGTAAGACCTCGTATACGTCAGCTGTTTACGACGCTTCTTCCCGCCAATCGTTAACGGCATCATACGGTGCACTACTACGATCAGAAACAATCACCGTGAACAGTGACCGTTCATGAGTACCGTAGCAGTACGGCGACCGTAAACAGGCGCACAATAATCCACTCTAATGTACCATATGCGCTAGATTTTACCGGATACCTTATCCATCGATCGTCAGCAACCGTTTACCTAATAATACATTCATTCCAAACGACCCACACAAACAGTGACTCTCTCCGGCTACTCAATAATTAAACATGCTCTAACAGATTATCCACATCTCAACCCATAAATCAGATATCCAGACACCATTTGAGAATTCCACGAAAACCCGAGCACCATGATGTAAGGGCCATTTCCAAGAGAACCCCGGTGCCCTAACATCAACTCAAACATGACGCGAACTTGTCCTTAAAATTAGAGACAAAAGCACTCCTGAACTCTAATTAGTCCATTTCAATTCACTACTCAACCTGCAAGATTCTAATCCTTGGTGGGGCGCCAGGCGCACACCCATACATATACCCCTCAATCGACAGAGTGGACTCGATAACCATAGCATCGGCCCAAACATGATTAGCACTAGTCCTTCCAATAAGACAGAAAAGAACTTGTGAAATCTGATTGGTTTTTTCAACTCACCAATGAAATTACGAGATTCTGTTTCATGGTGAGGCGCAAGGCGAAGATCCACACATATACCCCTTATTCGATAGATCGTCCTCGATAACCGTAGGATTGGCCCCAACATGAATAGTACTTGTCCTTACAATAAGAGAGAAAAGCCCTCCGGAAATCTGATTGGTCGTTTTCAATTAACCAATCAAATTGCGAGTTTCTATTTCTTAGTGAGATGTAAGGCGGAGACCCATACAAATATCCCTCATTTGATAGAGCGTCCTTGATAACCATTGGATCGGCCCGAACGTGACTAGTACTTCTCCTTACGATGAGAGAAAAAGGTCCTGCTGAAATCTGATTGATCAATTTGAATTGACCAATCAAATCGCGAGTTTCTATTTCTTGGTTAGGCGCTAGGCAGAGACCTGTACATATACCCCTGATTCGATAGAGGGTCCCCGATAACCCCTCGATCGATCCGAACATAATGAGTACTTGTCATTATAATAAGCGAGAAAAGCCCTCCTGAAATCTGATTCGTCCCAACCTGTATATGGTAGGGTTTCGTATTGGACCGTGCAGGGCACGGCGATTTACGGCCTTTATTTTGCTGTAAAGGGAGTAAAGGGAGCAGAGGCCGTCATGAGGTCGCAACAATCAACGTGATTTTTGCCCTGCAGGGCAGCTTTCACGTCCATTGTTGCGACCTCATGACGGTCTCTGAAAGCGAGTAAAAGGACTAAATGGAGTAAAAGAATAAAAGGACTAAAGGGACGAAAGTGACTAGAAGACCGAAATCATTTATAAACAAGTAAAACTTGATATAAATAAATGCGGAAACCTCGGATTTAAATCCGAGAGTTATGTGTATTTCAAAAAGTGAATGGGACAGATGAGTCATCCTAGAATGTGTGGACATCAAAGTTATCCTGGCAAACGTGTTCTAAAATACGCTTGATTTCTATTGGCTACCGCTCAATCAATAGGATTTGGAGACGAATACAGCTCAGATTTGAACTCTTCGCCTTGATTTACCCTAAGAAAGTCGGTTTTCCTATAACTTCATTTCTATTGGTTACTGCTCAACAAATGGAGTTTCGAGGCAAGTGGAGTACAGATTCGAGTTCTCCGCTCTAGAAAACCTCGAGCTATCATCTCTTTGATCGGAAGACAGAGCTCTAATTGTTGATCAATTAGAGTGTGGGTACAAACAGAACCAATTCCCATTTAGTTATCTTTGTAATAGGTGAGTTAGTCTTCTTATTTCTTTATGTTTTATATACCATTTTGTAGCTCGTGAAATTCTCTATCGAATGGTATATAATAGTCGGGGTTTCATTTGACTATGATCGGAAAAGTTTTTTACAAAAGCGGAGATAGGTCGATTTTCGCATAGGAAGGCATAGGGAATAATGACTATTTTTGCAATAATTCAGGAACGGCTAAGCCAATCCTTCTCATCTTCGAACTCGACCGAGATATTGTTGAGACTAAGCTGTGTAGAAAATTTCATCGCGATTGGACTCTCCTTTCAAAAGTTATCGTGTAAACGGCCGGCTGGACGGACATACTGACCGATTCTAGAGTGTACTCACTTTCTGAGTACACAAAAAGTAAAACTTTTGTATAGGAAAGCAAAACAGGATAAATTTTATTTTTCGTGGACCTATGCAAGTGGAGTACAGATTCGAGTTCTCTGTCCCAGAAAACCTCGAGCTATCATCTCTGTGATCAGAAGATTGAGTTCTAATTGTGGATCAATTAGAGCATGGATGAAAACAAAACCGATTTCCGTTTAATTATCTTCGCAATAGGTGAGTTAGCCTTCTTGTTTCTTTATGTTTTATATACCATTTTGTAGCTTGTGAAATTATCTATCGAATGGTGTATAGAGAAAATGCTCCTAAAATCGACAGCAAAAAATTCACTTATCTTGTTCGAGTCCGTGCACCGCTATTTTATATATGAGGTAAAATATTTTTATATATGCATAATCCCTGGATTCTGCTCTTTCAAATGGTATATAAATGAACTTTTTTCTTCAACGTTTTCACCGAGAAATTAGCGGTCTACGATGATGGACTCCATCTGTCGATATTAGGAGCACTTTCCCTACTATCGACAGCAAGCCATTTTTTGTCCCTAATATCGACACTTATGCAAAATTCAAGCGAAATCCAATCTTTTGAGAACAAACAAGTTTTTTACGACTTTTGGTCGGAAAACGATCAAAGGTCACCTTGGCAATCTTGTAGAGCATCTCAAGGTCTATCATAATCCAAAGGTTCACGCAAAGCCAATTTGTTACTGATAAATACAATAACTCGAGAGGAAGACGACTAAAATCGATGAACAAAAAGGTCCCTAATATCGATAGCAAGCAAATTTTTGGCCCCTAATATCGACAGCAAGCAAATTTTTGTCCCTAATATCGACAGCAAGCCATTTTTTGCCCCTAATATCGACAGCAAGCCATTTTTTGCCCCTAATATCGACACCAAGCAATGTTTTGCCCCTGATGTCGACAGCAAGCCATTTTTTGTCCCTAATATCGACAGCAAGCGGTTTTTTGCCCTCAATATAGGCAACAAGCCATTAAAGTTACTCGGTGTCGATATTAGGGGCAAAAAATTGCTTAGTGTCGATATTAGGGACAAAAGTTGCTTGCTGTCGATATTAGGGACCAAAAATGGCTTGCTGTCGATATTAGGGACATTTTTTTTTCATCGATTTTAGTCGTCTTCCTCTCGAGTTATTGTATTTATCAGTAACAAATTGGCTTTGCGTGAACCTTTGGATTATGATAGACCTTGAGATGCTCTACAAGATTGCCAAGGTGACCTTTGATCGTTTTCCGACCAAAAGTCGTAAAAAACTTGTTTGTTCTCAAAAGATTGGATTTCGCTTGAATTTTGCATAAGTGTCGATATTAGGGACAAAAAATGGCTTACTGTCGATAGTAGGGAAAGTGCTCCTAATATCGACAGATGGAGTCCATCATCGTAGACCGCTAATTTCTCGGTGAAAACGTTGAAGAAAAAAGTTCATTTATATACCATTTGAAAGAGCAGAATCCAGGGATTATGCATATATAAAAATATTTTACCTCATATATAAAATAGCGGTGCACGGACTCGAACAAGATAAGTGAATTTTTTGCTGTCGATATTAGGGACATTTGCTCTATGTAGCGACACCCCTTGTATTCCTCTGCATCCTGTGTGGGAGGGATTCTTATAACTTATTCGCTCGTAACTAGGGATACACTGAGCCGAAGACCAAACCGCGACTCTCAATCTCGGTCGCGGTCTCAGTCAGTCTCGGCTTTTAGTACCAATAAGTGTCGGCGTCAATACCAATTAATCTTAGTCTCCTTCTTTGCTATATTCAATCACAATAGCACTTCCAGCCTTGGTCTCGAGAACTTGGTGTCGATCTCA